GGGGGGGTGGCGTGGGCTGCTGTGGCCCAGGAGTGGGCTGCTGCGGCCCCAGTGGGGCGGTGGGCTGCTGTGGCCCCAGTGGGTGGGCTGCTGTGGCCCCGGGCGCGGCCTGGCACCAGGAAGAACACGCCCCAGCGCCTTCCCGGGGAACTTCCAGACCCACCACAGGGGCCGCGCACACCTGCGTCAGGGCCCAGCCCCACACATGGCTCAGAGGGCAGCCGGGAGGGTCCCCAGCGTGTGCACGGCGCTCTGCACCCCAGCCCTCCCCTGGCAGACCCCGCTGCACCGTCACCTCCATCAGGCAGCAGCAGGTGGCCCCGACCACAGGCAGTCGGCTCGAGGTGGGGGTGGCCCAGACTTGGGGGTGGTGTCCGGAGCGGCGCCAGACCTGGCCAGTGTCCACGGGGCGTGAAGGCGGTCCAGCCGCTCGGGAGCGCAGAGGGGTGGGGGTGGGGGGAGGCGGCACTGCCCGCCATGTCAGAGGGACACGGGGCCCCGCGGCACGGAGGGCGCTCGCTCGGGGAGCAGAGGGCACAGAGGGCAGCCTGGCCCGGCTGCGGGGCCCAGGGCACGGCAGTGCTGCTGGTGGGGCCGGGGCCAGGCTGCCAGGCCAGGAGGACGCAGAGGGGGCAGCCGCTCCCGCCGGCAGAGGCCGCCGCTCGGCCCGGCGCTGACCGGGACAGGCGGAGACCGGGAGGAGAGAGAGGCCCTGGGTTCCTGCTCCTTTCTGCCCTTTGTCTGTGGGTACTGGGCTTGATGGCGTTTCCTTGTCGAGGGTGCGTGAGCACCCCGGACCTCCGCAGGGCCATCCCAGGGGGACGGCTGGCCTGGCAACTGGGGTGCCCTGGGGGTCCCGGGCGCCCATGTGCGCGTCCAGGGCCCGAGAAAGCCCGCCTGGACTTCACACAGGGCCGACGCCTGAGATGCAGGGTCGGGGCACCACTGGGTCTCTCAGCCTTGGGGACCCACTACCCCTCTGATCAGGGAACAGGAAAGGGCTGGCCCCCAGGGGCAGCCTGATTGGCCACAGCCTGGACCAGGACAAGGCTCCTCTCACGTGGCCAAGAAAGCATAGAAGTCGAGAACATTCAACACTGCCTGGTACTGGAACGAGAACAGACACAGACCTGTGGGTTCGGATAGAAAACCCAGATGTACACCCCAGGCTCGCCGGCAGCCCAACTGCGACAAAGGGGCAAAGATGATACAGTGGAACAAAGAAAGTTTGTTCAGCAAATGGTGCTGGGAAAACTGGGAGGCTACATGCAAAAAAAATGAAACCAGATCACTACCTCTCACCATACACAAAAATCAACTCGAAGTGGATTAAAGACCTGGACATAAGAACGGGAACCATAAAATACCTGGAAACAAAGATGGGCCAAACACTACATGACATAAGCTTCAGCGACATCTTTAAAGACAGAGCACCCAACGCCACAATAGTGAAGGCAAAGATAAATAGATGGGACTACATCAAGTTAAAGAGCTTCTGTGCATTACGAAAAACAAACAGCCCACTAATTGGGAAAACATTTTCTCACACAAAAGTAGCAATAAAGGACTGATCACAAAAATATACGGAGAACTGACGAAACTCAACAAAAATAAAGTAAACAACCCCATCAAAAATGGGCAGTAGAGCTAAAAAGACACTTCTCCAAAGAGGAAATGCAGATGGCCAACAAGTATACGATACCACCTCACCCCAGTGAGAACGGCACATCTTCAAACAACTAGCAGCAACACATGTTGGCGAGGATGTGGAGAAAAAGGAACTCTCCTGCACTGCTGGTGGGAATGCAAACTAGTACAACCACTATGGAAAACTGTCTGGAGGTTCCTCAGGCTGCTAAACATGGAGCTTCCATGGGACCCAGCAATCCCACTCCTGGGTATCTACCCAAAAGACACAAAAACACTGATTGAAAAAGATACCTGCACCCCCATGTTTATTGCTGCTTTATTTACAATTGGAAAAACATGGAAGCAGCCCAAATGCCCAAAAGTAGATGACTGGATTAAAAAGATGTGGTACATTATACAATGGAATATTACTCAGCAACCAAAAAAGAGAAACACATGTCTTTTGCAGCAACTTGGATGGAGCTGGAAAAGATCATGCTTAATAAGATAAGCCAGAAAGAAAAGGAAAAATACCGGCTGGTTTCTCTCATAGCAGGAGTATAGCAGAACAGGCAAGAAAATAATAATGATGAGCAGCTATAGACCAGAGACGTTTTGTGGGGGTGGAGCGGGGAGTGGGATCAAAAAAGTGGGGGTGGAAGAGAACACGGGACTATGGTGATGGCACATGGGATGAACTGGTGGTGGGAAGCCCAAGGGAATTGCAACCGAGATGGAAAAAAGCATAAAATGATGTAAAAAATAAACTATTATATTAAAATAAAGAAAAAGAAAACAAACATAAAGTCAAGAAATTTGCAGAACAGAACAGGTGTGCGACCAGGCCCGTGCACACGCCACCACATGCATGCACGCGGAGAGTCCATGCACGCGTACCACCACGTGCCCACGTGTGTTCATAAACGTGGCGACAGGGACACATGCACGTGGCGATTCTGCCGCAGGACAAAGTCTCCCTCCCACGAGCCTGGCCGCCCAGCGCACGCCGGCCCATCCCTGTGCGTCCGCGGCCAGCGACGCAGAGGTCACATGTGGATGTCACCGTGTGCGCTCCTGGGCTGCCGGTCACTCCCTGTTGCCCACCTGCCCCCCCCCCAGCTGCGCACCCCGTGGGCTCTGGCACATGCACTGAGGTTTGTGGTCAGCACCACCACCCCGTCAGAGCATCCTCTGCACCCCAAACAGCTCCGAGCCCTTTGGGGGTCCTCCCCCCCACAGGACCCCTGCAGCCACTGCTTGGCTGGCCTCTGGTCGCCACCTCCGCACGGAGGCCCCCTCGCCGAGGCCTCTAGGTCAGGCTTGGCTGCGGCCGCGGCCTGCGGAGGCCAGGCTTCCCAAGGCCACAGACGTCCCCGCCACCGGCTGGCCGCGTGGCTCAGCCGTGCCCACGGATGGTGGCAGTGGTGTGTGGCTCCCACCGCCCCACGCATGCCTGGGGGGGTGGGTGGGCCTGGCTCACCTTCTCTTGGGCCGACCTGGCTGCGCTGGACACACGCTGCACGGCCAGCTGCAGGGGCTGCTGCAGGGGGTCCTCCAGGAAGGAGAGGCGCAGAGGGCCCTGGAAGGGAGAGGCGCAGTGAGAGGAGGCGGGGCACAGCCGCGCACACGGCCACAGCCACACACAGCCACACGTGTGCGCACACGCACACATCCATGCACACGCACAGGCACACACTAGCTCACAGCCACGCCGCACGCACACAGGTGGCCAGCCACGGCCCGCAGGCCTGCGCCCGGCCTGTGCCGGCCCTGCCGGGTGGGGGGTAGAAGGTGGGAAGGGAGCAACCCCCAAGAAGTCGCAGTGACCAGGGCGGGCCTCCGGCGCCCGTGTCCCGGCGTGGACCCCAGGCGGCGGCCCTGTGGGTCTCGGGGCTCAGGGCTGTGAGCACCGGCTGCCTCGGAGCCGTCGCCCTGGCCCCGCGGGGACCTCCTTCTCCTGGGCCCCTGCAGCTGCTGCCCCCGGGGATCTGAAATCCCCGGCAGAAGTGAGCCGCTCTGCTCCTGGGTTCGCTCTGCCCCCGTCAGCCCTGGGCAGCTCCCTGGCCAGGTCAGCCTGCGTCCTCCTGGTGCTCCTCGCCCGGCGTCCCCCCGCGAGAGGCGTGGCTGAGCCGTGCGGCAGCGGTGCTCGCCGGCAGGACAGACCGGCGCCTGGAGCCAGCTGCCGCTGCGGCCACTCCGGCTGCGTCCAGCCCCTGCTGCGTGACGAGCGGACAGGGGGAGCCTGTGGCTTCGTGGATCGACGCGGCCGTGACTGCCAGGTGCCCCAGAGCAGGGCCACGGAGCCGAGTGGGGTTTCGACTTCCCGCTTCGAGGCCGGGGCCTCGGCGTTTCGGCGTTTCGGCGTTTCGGCTGACGGGCAGGCTCCACGCCGAGCCAGGCGGGCCAAACGGTGGGGACAGCTCCTGCCCCGTTGCTCGGGGTCCGCCAGCTCCGGTGACAGACCTGACCACGGGGTCCGGGGACCCCGGAGCCTCCTGAGCAATGAGCAGGCAGTGAGGGCACTATAGGGCTGTTTCCTAAGAACCCGGGGTGCTGGGAACGTCTGCCAGCAATGTCTGTGTCACCCCAAAATCAGCAGGGGAGGATTAAGGCTGCACCTGGAATGCGAGGGTCAGTTTGGGGGCTGCCCACCCCACCCGCGGCTGTTCCGGGGACCCGTCTGGGCGCCAGAGCCAGCCCGGTGCCAGGCAGGGAAGGGCCGGTCAGGAGCGGGACGGCCGCTGGCCGCCATCCAGACAATGTGGCTCTGTGAGGCTGACGCTGGTGTCGCCTCCCGGCCAGCTCCGGTCGCCCCCTCGGCCAGCGCCCACTTGCTGCCACGCGCCTCGGGTGGAAACCCGGTGCCAGCCCGGGTGGGGTCCAGGAGCCCGCGGGCCTCCTGCTGCGTTTCAGGAAGCCGGGCATGCCCTGGCCGGGGAGGGCGGGCAGCTTCACGAGCAACCTCGGGGGGCGCCACGGGCCGTCCAAGCCGCCCCGCGCCCTGAGCGCCCAGGCGAGGGTGACCGCGTGGCTCTGAGCAGGGGCAAGCCTCAGCCAGCTGGGCGCAGCACGGCGCAGAAACGGACTCGTCCTGCCAACTTCCTGCCGCCTGGACGTTGGCCACGGAGGCGGCACAGGCCGGCCTCCCGTCTCACTGGGAGGGATGGCCTCTCGGGGCGGGCCCCCGCTTCCTGGGTGGCGCCGAGGCTGCACCCTTTGGCAGGTGAAGCGCGGGGTCAGGCCCGGCCGACTCACAGGAGCGGCGTGAGCGGCCGGCCCGCAGGCCAGCCAGCCCTGCCCGCTCCAGCGGCCTCGTGGGTGCCCCCAGCCGCGGGCCGGCCAGGAAGTCGCCCGCGCCGCCTTCGCCTTGACTTAGACGCGGCTCCCACTCTTCCTCCGAGTCCCTGGGCCCCACGCCTGGCCCTGGGCTCCGTGGGGACAGGGCAGTGTTGGGCGTCGACTTGGGAGAACCAAGCGCTTTAAGTAGCCCCTGCGCCTGGCTTGGAGGCTCCAGGCCGCGGGCTGTGTCCCTTCCCCTCCGCCCAGGCGCCACCGTCCACGCTGCCCAGCGGGGCTGCAGGCGAGGCCTGGCTCACCCAGGCCGATGCAGGCCGGCCCAGGGCCTGGGCCCTGCCGGCACCGAGGGAAGTCAAACCGGAGGAGAGGTTGCAGGGCCGGCAGAGACAATGGGGGCCGGCGGGCGGCCCCACAGGAAGCGCCCCTGAGTGCTGGAGCCAGGAAGCACTGGCTGGGTCACGGGCAGAGCCGTGTCCAGGCTGGCCGCCGTGTCCCGCGGTGTCTGGCCGCGGCCGCCCCCGGTGGAGGAGCGTGGCCCGTCACGGTGGGACAGGGCAGTCGCGGCACGTCAGCCACCGCGCGGACACGGCGGCACAGCCTGCCCCCGGCCGGCCACAGCACGCGGAGCAGTCCTCTGAAAAGTGCAGGGTGCGCTGTGGAGACAGACCGCTGTGCTGGGCCGGGCCCGGGCCCCCAGACAGGCCCGGCCGGCACTCGCTCAGGCTGCTCCCCCCAGGACCAGACAGCCTCGCCCGGGGATGCTGCCCCCCCGCCCCCGGGGACAAGCTCCTGGCTCCCAGGGCCGGCGGGCAGCCCAGGTGGGTGTCGGGGTGTGGCCACTGCAGGGCAACCCCTTTGTGTTGTAAACAGAAGCTGGTCTCCAAAGGGAAACCTCCGGCTGGACCGGGCAGTGCCGGGCTGCTGGAGCAGGACAGGAGTGGGCCCTGGCGAGTCCCCGGCCTCCAGCAGCACCCTGGGCTGCGGGGACACTGGGAGACACCGCGTGGCCCGCCCCAGGAGCCGGGACGGGGATGCGGCCGGCG